CACACCCACCATGATCTACACAATACACCCCACCATGACCTACACAATACACCCCACCATGACCTACACAATACACCCCTGCCATGACCTACACAATACACCCCTGCCATGACCTACACAATACACACCCACCATGACCTACACAATACAACCCACCATGACCTTCACAATACACCACCACCATGATCAACACAATACACCCCCACCATGACCTACACTATACACAACCTCATGACCTATAATACACCACCACCATAACCTACATAATACACCACCACCATGACCTACACAATACACCGTCAGAGAACGGTACGCAGTTAAGAGGGTTTGAGGTCAAATTATGCAGGATGTTGGTGAATCGACATAGCGTTAAGAGGTACACCTACTCTACCGGGACACAGATTGTAAAACACTTCACTCGACATGTACACAGGTACAGTATGTACACCCAGCACACCCAAAAATGCACTCCCTGCCTTACATAGGGGCAGGGTAACACGGCAACACCTGCCCCGGTGTACCTGAGATGCAGCACTGGTGAATGCCAGCAGGAGGTGCAGGTAGAGTTGGGTGATGGTCGGGCTAGCGAGGGTCCTGGTTATGGCAGGACTCTCTGATCCTGGCACAGGAACATCGCCACACAAGGGTGGAAAATGGCAGGGTGTGGTAGGACAGGAGGGTGGTGGTGGGCGGCACACGTGCGGCAGGTGTCCAAATGCCAACTCGTGTGCTGCCATACTACTGCCCAGGCGACGGCGTCCCGTGTTGCCTGGCAACGTGTAAACAACATGGGAGGTAAGGAGCAACACAGCCCAGAGTCGTGGTGCTCTTCCTCCTCACCCTCCACCTCTTTCTCACACCTCCTATGCCTCCAGCACACTGTCATATTTGCTGGAGGCGACAGCGGGACGAAGAAGGCCCGCGGACGTCACAAGAGCAACACTGAAAGGTGGTGGAGGAGGAGAATGGCGCGGGGGGGGATACAGAGGTGGCGGGAGTGTCAGACAACAACAAGCAGTTCTAGGCTGTAGTGGCACCAGTGGGGTGCTCCGCGCAGCTGTCTCCCCCACCACCACCACTACTACTATACCTTGGCCAGGCGGGCGGGTATTACAAACACTCACCCCGACAGCAACTCTCCCCCCACAATATTTCCCCTACTTTTCTCTTCCCCTTGATACAACCCCGCCTTCCTCTCACACTCCCCCAAACTTCCCGTCTCCCCTAATACAGTTCCCCTCCTTTCACAACATTGTCAGTCTCTCTCCCACAACACTTTCCTCTCGTCAACTGTGTACGGCAACTGTGTTAAATGTTTTCTTGGTCGCTACGCCACCCACCACACAATAATAATAATAATAATAATAATAATAATAATAATAATAATAATAATAATAATAATAAAATAATACTACTAATACTACTACTACTACAAATAATAATAATAATAATAAAAAATATAGCTTTAAGAACTCAGACTTTACGTTGTTACACACACTCCTACAGGTTACTAGGTAAGGTTGAGATGACCCCCAGTCAGTTGTGCCTTACAGTATTACAGAAGATGAATGTTTTAATATTTTTATCAGAAGCGAATGAAGTTGAGGTATACTTTGAGGTATACTTCTGAGTCTGTTGAAAATGCGAACCGTGAAGAGCTGCACGTCTAATGGGCCCCGGTCCTAGCAGGCCCAAGTCTAACCTAATCATTTTGATTAAAGTCACACTAACATTGTGTGCGATGAATTAACATACTGAGTACAGGGTCCTATTAATACTGAGTACAGGGCCCTATTAACATTGAGTGGGATGACTTAACATACTGAGTACAGGGCCCTATTAACATTGAGTGGGATGACTTAACATACTGAGTACAGGGTCCTATTAACCCAATGGCATAGTTTTAATCACCTGAGTACGATGTCATCGTAATCATGGGTATAAGTGGCCGTAATCAAAGGGATGAAACTTGGTACTCGATGGAATATGATGCTGTACTTAACGTGTTAAGTCATCGTACTCCAGTGATTAAATCTCTTATTGAATGGGGTTACTCACTGTATTAAAGGGGCTAAGTGCGTACTGAAGGGGGTTAAGAAGTGGGCCCACCCGTAATGGTAGGGTAGGGTTAGGTTAGGTTGAGGCCTCATATGTAATATTCCCCCTAGTGCACATTACACAACAATCAACAAAATAACTCCGACTGACTTCCACCGTTCAGTTTCTCACCAAAAGTTCACAAAAAAGTTATCCTAACAGCTTATTTCTGTCACTATATCTTCTGATACTGCTACATCAAAACTTTCCTATAACGCTTATTATTGTCCTTATCTCTTGTTAGAGAGCTTTTACGCAAGGCACACACGAGAGGGCCCGTGCCGTGTGGCAAAGAAAAAAACACACACACACTCTCCTGGGTGTTACCATAGACCACAAACTGGACTGAAAGGCCCATGTAAACAACACAATCAAGGCAGCCTTGTACCGACTCTACATGCCTCGACGACTCAGGTCACTTGGGGCACCCACGCCAGAGCTGAGGACCATCTACAACGCCTTTATTCTCCCCAAATTAACGTATGCGTCACCAGCCTGGTCGTCTTCTCTCAACTCTACCCAACAACGTCAGCTAGAGAAGGTACAGAAGAGGGCCTGTAGAATCAT